TAATAACAGGATGGTTGCACTTCAGGTAGGCTTAATACATTTGAGACACTTTTATTTCTTTCAAAGAGCAGCATGACAAGAACAGGGAAACTGAGGAGGAAAATAGTCTTACCCACCTTATAGAAATCAGACATAAGAGAAGCTGTGAGGGGCATTTGCTTTCTGACCCACAGGAGAGCAAAGAGCAAGAACACCTGATGTTCTTGAGGCCAGAATTTCAGCAAATCAGCTTCTAACATCATTTCAGATAATGGCTTTAGTGAGACTCACAAGGGGCTTAGGACGTTAAAAATAAAATCCGGGCTCTCATGGTGCAAGTTTTGATCACTAACGAATCCAGTTTCCCTGTTATCCAAGCCACTAAAGTGGCTGTCCTTTGAGCTTCTGTTTTCAAGAACAGATGACCAAGGAATGAACCAGCCATGATCCAAGGGAGATGTCCTGGAAATGCACTCATTCTGTAGGAACGAGGACCTGACCTGACACTACCAATGCCTAGAGCTTTCTCTGCTGCTTTTGGTATGTCACAGGGCAGGTCACAGCGGATTATACAGTAATTTGACTGTGGCCTCATTCAGGTATTAACTACCCTAATTTTGTTGAAAAGTAAAATTTTGAAAACTGCATCTCTATGGACTGTGTGTAAAATAGGGAAACTGAATATTTAGTATCAGCCACTTTTACTTCCTTCTCTCCTCTTTGGCCTAGGAAGGAAATACACCATAGGAGAGCCTTCCACTGCAAAATGATCACTTTGCTAGGTCAGGTGTGTTATTCAGTGGTGGACCTGTAGTCTTTCTGCTTTGTAAACTGCCTTCAACATCAAATTACAACATTTATGAGTTAACCAATCTATGTCTTTTAAAAATCATTCCTTACTTATAGTTCAAACATAGTTAAAATCATCACCTACTCACCCTCCTCCAAATTGTTCTAAATATGTCCAGTGCTCAAAGCTCCCTTCCAAATTATGATTCAGTACCATTTAAAAAATACAAAAGAAAGTTCTTTAAAAGTAATCCCAAAGAATAGCACACAAAACTATCTGGAACAATGTCAAAATCTCTGGAATAAGTCAGTGATATGTAACCTGCCAATATATTATCTCAGAAGGGGGAAATCTGCCTGGGATGTAGCTCAATGGCACAGTGCCTGCCTGGCAAACAGGAGGTCTTTAGTTAGATTCCCAGTACAAAAAAAGAGAAAAAGAAGCAGAAAGAAGGGGGGAAATCTTATTGTTTTGTTAAAGAATATTAAATCCTATTGCCTATATAATGACTATGGATAGTGATAATGTACTCTACATTTTATAAAAGCTAGAAGCATGTGTCTGAGTACTTTCATTATAAAGAAATGATAGATCATTGAGGAGATAAATGTTTGCCCTGACTTGAACATTACATAGTGTATACATGTATTGAAACATCATAAGGAACCTAATGAATGTGTACAATTTTCTGTACCAGTTAAAAAGAGATCTCTGCTAAACAACTGACCAGAAAATTCTTCATAGACAGCTTATCTAGAAGAGTTCCTGTATACAGATATGAGTGCTGTTTCCTTTGCCTGCTTTATTATTTTTCTTATCATTTGTCACTACCTGATATCATATCTTTGACAGTTTATGTATGTTTTTCTCATCCATGAAGATTAAGCACATGAAGACAGGAAGTATTTATTAACCACTAAAATCCTTGCACTTTAACTAGATCTGATCACACCTAGGCTCTTAGTAAAATGTTTGTGGAATAATGCACAAATGATTAACATTCTACTTCTCCTGGCTTATTCAGGTGAAAATGCTTTGGTAGCAATCACCTTGCATTATTTTCCTCACACCTTTATGAAGCTGGTGGTACACAGATGACTGTGCCTATTCATTAAGTAATAAGAACTACATCTCAAGATGTAATAAACTGCTGGTGATTACACTGCTCACAGTGGTGAGCCTGGCTGACTGTTTTCATATTCCTAGTTCAGTACCCACATTGGCCACTTAGAACAAGGCATAAATACAAGCTACATTTTAGTGAGCAGCTGCAGGTCACCTTATTGGCAAAGTGTTCTACAATGCTGCTTTTTCATAAAAACACAATTTCTCTCCATTTATTATTGATTCAATGTTAAAGGTTTTATAAATAAAATATCTTATTATAATTTCCATTAGAAAAATAAGAAGTGGAAACAATCTTACCAGTTTTTAAACTAATCATACAAATGTAAAGATACCAAAGAGCATTTTTGCACAACACAGAATCTTTTCTTCTAAAACAGTTTTTGCCTTAGCACCCCCGTCTCTCTTACCATGGAGATCTAATTTGCAAATATTTTTACCCCTACTTTTATTTTTACATGGCTCTCATCATGTATCTAGTTCATAAACACTTCAAATTATAGAAAAGTGCTTTCTGCAATTTGATGCCTCTTAGCCACATTTTACTGGCAGTTTCCATAGCAAATTTTATATCAGAAGGTCTTCATAACTGTGGAATGTGTGCACAATGAACTGTTTTCCACCCTGCTGAAGAAGTGGAAATGCAATTCAAACAGTTTATCCCAGCAATTGGCAATAATTCTGAAGCAGCAACCACATTTGCCTGCCTGACTCGGTATCCTGGAGATTTCAAAGCACCATGGTGCTAGGTGGTCAGCAAAATGCCTTTCAGCGTTTCCAATAACATTTTGACAGACAAGCCAAGCTTTCATCTCACAGCCAAGTCACAGACAGTGATACTCAAAGGCCCAATAGTGAATAGCCATAAAATCCTGGGAGTTTTGCCTTCTAACATGACTTGTTGCTGTGCTTATATTCATGAACAAGCTGTCCTTCCCTTGCACACAGCTTTACTTACAGCTCCTGTAACACAAGCCACATGTCCTCCTCTTCCTTCTTCCTCTCTCTCTCTCTCTCATCACCATAATGAATATTGACATTTTTTTCTTTTCTACCATTAAAATTCACCATGGAACTGGTTCATGGATAATAGCATTACAGAACAAACGCTGAGTGCATTTGTTATATTTTGTGCATTCTATATATTTTGAATAGAAATGTGCTTCTTTGAGATAGAAGTAAACTTTTCTAGTTAATCTCCTATCTTCAGAGTGCATCTGTAATTATTATTGAATTTTAAATTTTATAGTCATAGGGAGAAGTGTTTAATATTTAGAAATGGAAGCAATCAATTTAAAAATAAGTTTTCCTAACGTACACATCTAGACACCCAGAGAGAAAGTAAAGAGAAATCTCTACACTTGTGCTGGTCTGAATGGAATCTAGTCTCTTAAAAAAGGGATAAATAAAATGGAAAGAGTTTACTTTTTATTTTCATAGAAGAAGGATACAAGCTATTGGTGAATATTTGGGTCTGTGCTCAAAGTAATGGATTTTCTTGCTGCGTTGTTGAAAGCCAGCTGCCTCTAAATCAACTGGTCACTTGAGAATGCTCTATATGTAGAAAAACTCCTTTTTCCTGTCTTCTTTCTACCTGAAACTATATTACACAGAAAAATCCTAATTCAAAAAGAGATCTAGGGAAAAGGCAATCTTTGGGGTTTCCAGAGCAGTTCTGATGTTGCCAGTCACAGATCTCTGAGTACTTCTGGGCCTCTTGTTCTTTTCTGGTGAGAAGGTAGATCGGACAGATGCTGTGACTTCTACAGTCACTCAAAAGTTACACTCCTCCTTTAACAAGCTTAGCGGAAAATCATGGTATGATAATTGCTTTGTTCATCCTAGAATAATCAAGCCTGGGATTGTCAAGTGTGTTCATTCTACTGAGGAATAGTATTATCCAGGCAGAAATTTATATTAATTAAAAAGCAGTGAAGAACACAGGAAAAATTCATATGTGTCTGCCTTCATGGATTGAAGTTTCTTAAAGCAAACTGTCTGCAATTTCCAGGTCTTTATAACTTTTAGTCACAGCTAACAGGACGAGTACACCTTAGCCATGTTTTCTTGTATCATTTATAGCCATAGATGTATATAGGTACCAGAAAGCTAGTGATGAAAGTCCATTTTTTCTTGTGGCTCATTCTGATCACATATAGAAATCTAACTGTGGTATACTTATTATATTAAAAAAATTTAAGACCTGGAAACATTAGATAAAAATCTTCCTGAAATAATTTTTCCCATGTCTTCTGCCCCAATGCCCACCACTTCCAAACTGTCATAATCTTCTAATATAGTACTTCATAGCTACCTAGTAGGGCTGTTGTGAAGGTTGGTTTATAAAATAATGAATATCTAAAATGAGGTCTTGTTTGAATTCTCATGGAATTCTGGGCTCCCTGTGCCTTTGAAACCACAATACCAACTACTGAAATTGTCTATAAGGGTTTAAAAAAGAAAGGGACATAGTTAGCAAAATGTGTATACAATAACTGCCTATTTCTGCTCAGATACAGAAGCTGACATGCCATTTAGTTGAGCATAATCACACAAATGGCATCCTGCAATGCAGACTTTCCCTTGCTTAAAATTCCAAATAATTTAGTAGAAAAATAATTCTTATTATAACATTTAAATCAAGAGATGGAGGGAGGCGGAAGATGGAAGGCAAAGGGGTAGGAAAAAGAATTAAAGTGAGTTATGTACATGTACCAACTGCCATGACAAAGGTAATCATTACATGCTACAAACGTGTACTAATAAAATTTTTAAAATTAAAAAAATAAATGTAATTTTATACATACTTGTCTATAGTTGCTTTGAAAGCTAAAAAATTACCTCCACAATCCAAACATTTCATCAGTATCTGTTGTACTTAAGGAAGGTAATCAACCTAATTCCTACCTCCTCTGTGCATATGCTAGAACCACTCCTGATCCTTTTTAGGGTTTCCTGTCAATAAAAAGCAGATCTCAAAATGACACCTTCATCACCTTTTGTAGTTTTATTTGTTACTCCTTTGGTAGTTGTTATGGTCTGAATATTTGTGTCAGAATTCATGTATTGAAGTCCTACCCTAAAAGATGATGGTATTACATTACAGGTCTTATAGGAGCCGATTAAGGCAAGTGGTGAAGGACTCAAAGGTAAGAGGGTGAGCTTGGTGGCCTAATGGGAGTGACCAGAGACCTCTCATCCTTTTCACCCTGTGAGGAGACAGCAAGAAGGCACTGTCCACAAGCCAGAAGGTAAACCCTCATCAGACACCAAATCTGCTTGATCTTAGAGTGCTCAGCCTCTAGGAAAGTTAGAAATAAATTTCTGTTGTTAATAAGCAACTTAATTTGTGATATTTTGTTATAAAATTCCAGACAGAGGACAGTAATTTATAGGCTTTTTTTACATATCCTAGAGACCAGGAACATTTATGATAGTATCTTAACTATAGTTTATAAAGATTGTTCTTTTAAATGTGGTTACTTATACTGAATATATATGTTGAACAGATATTTTAAGAAATATTTTGGCTTACTGATCAAATTTTTAATTTGAAGAATCCCTATTAACTGAAAGTTGTTATATGCATTTAAACTACAGTTCAGAAAAAAAATATTCATCCACCATGCTACATGAAGAAAGAAAATAACATAGTAGGTGAAAATAATCTCAGAATTCTGAAGTATGTTTTCAGTCCTATATCAACATTTTATTAGCTCTGATAGCTTGAGCGAGTGAATTGAAATTCAATGTTGAATAGAAATGTTTAGTCAGAAGCCGTTAGATACCTATTATACATATAAGGGATAATTGAAATTTATGGTAAATGTTTAAATTAGAAAAAAACCAACTTATAGTAAAAAGCATATTACCAAGAATGGTGCAATGTGCATTCAAAGTGATGGAGAATATTCTTGGTACTATAAAGAGTATTGTGATGTGTCTTTCACTGCACTAAAATTTTTAATTTAAATATTCACCATATGTGTTGATCAAATGACAGCAATTTCTGTCAAAAACTTTACAGTGTGTCCTCATTCACCTTATTCATTGGATCTGCAATGTATAACACTCTGCTCTTCCTCAAAGTCAAAATGACCATTACAGGCAAACATTTTGAATCGATTCAGGACATCAAGGCAACAACTAAAGACACTTATGAAAGAAGACTTCTAGAACTGTGTTATTAACTGGCAAGAAGACTGGGATAAGTGTGTTTGAAGTGAGGAAAAGTATTTTGAGGGGGATTAATGGGAATTTGTTCTTTTCTATAATGAATTAAAAAAATTAAATCAGACACACAAGCTTAAATATCACATGGTTTTTCTTGTATGAAATACCCAAAGTATAAATAAAAATTAAGGTACAAGTAGATAATAGGAACTAGGGAGCTAGATCTTTCTCAAAGGCGAAGAGGATCAGGAGATGGAAGGAGAGTAAGGGGAGGGAAAAGGGGTGATAAAACAAATTAAGATGTGTTATGTACATGCACCAACTCCACACAAGGAGTGTAAAGGTTATATATTGCAAACATGCACAAATAACAAAAGGAAAGAGATCAACAGATGAATGGAAGAGAAAGTGAGGAAAGGGAAAGAGAATAAAAAATTAAGAGATATTATGTAAGTGTACCAGTTCCCCACAAGGAACAAAACATTATATTCTACAAACATGTATCAACTAAAGAATGAAAAGTTTAAATATTCATTGCATGTTTTGATCACATCTATTACAGTACATACAAACTGAAATATTACTTTGTTATTATTGATATCTAGGAACAGAAATCACATAGATAAACAAAAAGATGTTTATTGAAAATTGATGATTGACTTTAATAGCCTATCAAACTTTTCTTGAAGTGTTTTTCTATTACATGACCTATTTTATTGAAAATCTGGGAAACATAAAATACTTTAAAATTATATACAAGGAATAATTATAATAAAATATATTAAATATCTTAGAAAAAAATGCTTTTGTCAAAGAACTTCTCTCTATATATCTCAAACAGTAGATCCAGGCAACTTCACAAGAAAATTCTGCTAGTCACCAAAAGTTAAACTACACAAATGTTGCCTAAATTATTTTAGAGAATTCCAGAATATGAAAGATTGGGGAATTTCTAAGTTTTCTTTCTTTTAATTTTGAGGCCAATATTATATCAATAATATTTATACCACAAAATGAATAACTAATTTGAAGTATGAATATTGGTTTAAAAATCTGAAGTAAGAATTACTTTAGGAAATGGAATTTAGCAATACATAAAGGGAGACACTCCCACAATTAAGTGCAATTATATCAAGCATGCAAGGATGGTTTGATATTAACTATTTACATTTTAGTAAACCTATTAATCAAATTATCTATCAACAAAGAACAAAAAATAGAAGTCATATCATCCTTTCACTGTCAAAGATATTTGATGGTGTTTGATAACATTGCATAAATATTTTAAATCAAATTTAGTAGAAAGAGATGAATACTTCTTTCTTTTTCTATTTCTCTCAAACTAGAAGCAGAATCTTGTCTAACAATAGAATATTAGTCTTGGAAATATGAGCTGACATAATTATATAGAAATGGTCTAAAGATAATAAAAATATATAAGACATATAAAAGGAAAACTACAGTGTCTACTGAGAGATGTCACATATTTGATATTTTTGGAAGATTGGGTTTTTGTATCCCAGAAGGAGACAATATGAAAATTCAATAAAGACAAGACATTAATTGTCTCTCAACCAAAGTATAAAAGGAATTTAATACACATTTTAATTTCTTAGAAAAAGATGCCATTTTTGTATGTTTGTATAGTAAAATAAGATGTCAGAATAGCCAATACATTCTGAAAAAGAAGAACAAGTCATCTAGTTATGCACTTTTAAGCCATATTAAATTTTAGATACAGATATAGGTATTGTCTATCTACTGTCTACCTATCTAGTTATATGAGATTGTTGATTTTCAATTCTTCCTGGTCTATTAAAATAGTAATTTCATATGACTCAACATAATATGTAGGTGATACTTCAAGCAAAAACATGTCAATTCACAAAAAGTCATATGCCTTAAAACTACCTTAGCCTCATTTATAATTAATGTAAAGTGTATGTAAAGATAAATAGCATTTTTAAACTTCTCAAATGAGAAAAGAAAATTGAGTTTAAATGTACATATTTTGACAACTGTGTGGAACAACATCATATACTATTTGTCACTGTTAAGACTAGTACCAAATGTTGGAAAAACAATTTACTGATATTTGTCAAAATATACAGTTTTTTCCCCTAAAAATTTTTATTTGAAAATGTATTTTGCAGACACATTTGAGCATGTATGCAAAAATTGTATATAAGAATATTTATTTATTATTTTTTATAAGAATATTTATTATTGTATTGTTTATCAGAGCCTAAAATAGAAAACCATGTAAATGTTATCCAAGAGGAGACCGGATAGGTAAATTTTAGAGTGCATATTTTATGAAATAAGACAGAATTATTAAAAAGAATGAAGTAGGCTTATGTATGCCTTTGCATAAATATTTCTAAGAAATAGGGGTAGAAAAGGAAGATTAAAACAGTCTGGGTGATGGGTCCTAAGTTAAATTAAAATGAAAAAGGGTGAATGTGTGAAAACATATATACATACAGTTGTAAAAGTGCAGACTTTCTTTGGAAGGCTACATTGAAAATAGGGTAGTGGCTGTTTCTGAAAGAATAAGGCAATTAAATTTAGGGTGGGGAAGTGACAGACTATTCATCTGGTGTCGCTGATATTGTCTGAATTTTTAAAAGATAATTTAAAGCAGCAGTAATAAAAAACAAATAGAAACAAAGAACATATTTTCCATATAAAATTTGGAGGGAATTTTGGTTTTATTTTGTCTATTATAAAAATAAAATTTTTGTTTAGAGAGCTGTTTGTATTCCCATTGCAGTATAAAATGAATTGACAAAAAATTCCAGAATCGAAATTATTATTCCTTCTGGGGGGTGAGATGGCGAAGTGGGGCACAATATCCCTGATGAGTGGTGGAAAAGTGATCTGATATTTTTTCTTAATGAAACCTCCTGGATACAACTGCCTATTTTGTGTTCCCTCAGACATTTCTGTGAATGAGGGTGTACTGTCCCAGACTCATTCTAAACTTGCCTCCCCACAGTTTATATTTCTCTTTGGCAAAACCACACAGGGACTAAGTCTGAATGATGAGAAAGTCTTTTTCACATTTCCTTCTCACTCTCGATAGTAGTACCAGCAGGACCGGAAAATAATATTCCAGTCTGAAGGCATGTACGGTAACTATAGAGACTTCCTTTGATACTTCTGAAGTCATTTTAAATGGGGCCATCCATTTTGTCTGAGTCACACAACGCATCCAGAACCTAGTCTACTCATCTATTGTTGCCCGCTGATCAACTGTTCCTCCCATGATCTTTGTGTTTGATCTTGGAGACATTAAGCAGCACAGAGAGCAAAAGCATCCTTGGGTACCCTGCCACCTGCCCTTGTCAATTGACTTGATGGAGAGAAACGTTTTATTTGCCATTTACCCACTGGCAGGGAGGGTATGCTAGGGGTGAGTGGTGTATGTCTGAAGAATTCAGCAGGAGGTTCAGACTGCAAAAAGATAACTGAGTTAATACACAGAAAATGGTAGTGCTTTTGAGCAAAGAAGTGATGTCAACCACCAGGTGATTCCCTTAAAAATGGAGTTCCACTAAATGGTTTGAACAGTTGCTTCATGGGATATCTTCACTCTTTCCTTGAAGGGTCAACTTGGTCTGGGAGCTTTTCTCAATGGACTCAGCAGGTAGTGCCAACAACTCCCTTGCTAATAAAGGGCTTTTCTGTTTCTTTCTTTCTTTCTTTCTTTCTTTCTTTTTTTCCATTTTTCATTTGGACTGAACACTGAAGTCACTGCCTTCTGAAAAGCAGTCTATGCCTGGGCACTATTATCTGTCCATGCAGCTTAGGTCAACATTAAAGGCATTGATGCTTGGAGTACTGATGGTTGAGGTTGTGCACTCCACCCAACCGTGGAAAGCTAGACCACAGGGAGTGTTCTGTAGGGGAAAGCAACATCAGTAGTAACTGGAGAGACCCGGAAAATGAAAACGTCTTTAGCTCTCTTAGAGTGTTACATAGCATGGGAAAAGTCAGGTGCAAACTTAGATTCATGGGTTGGGGGTGATATTTTAACAGTCCTTGACCATACTTTCTTTAGTAGGTTCAAGTGAAAACTGG